TAAAGTTGTCTTAAATGTTAAAACACAATACATAAACTTTGCAAGATTTCAATGGGCAAGTCTAAACTGTAAATCTCAATCAAGTTTAAAATGCAGTTTGGGGGCGGGAGACAGGGAATTCCTAAAAACGGGCACAAGGTCCTTTTTGGGGTGAGGAAGCTGTTCTAAAATTAGATTGTGGTGCGTTCGGCACAGCTCTGATTTCTAGAAATCACTTGACTGTGTGTTTTAAAATGAGTGAATTTCATGGTAGGTAAAACAAGATCTCAGTGAGGCTATCCAAAAGGGAAATGCATACATACGTCAGAGCGAGGGAAGCAGCTGTATATTTTACCTGACTGAGGTCAGCACGGGTGGGACGGCCATTCGGCCACCCATGTGTGCCTGGCCCAGGGACCCGTCCTTGCCCGCACCCCTGCGCTCATGGGCAGGGGGACACGGAGTATGTATTCTCACTATTCTCTTCCTCTAAACATCCTTAACCATGGGGCGCCTGGTCGCTCAGTGGGTGAAGCGTCTGCCTTCGGCTCAGGTCGTGAATCAGGGTCCTGGGATCGAGCCCCGCATCGGGCTCCCTGCTCAGCGGGGAGCCTGCTTCTCCCTCGCTCTCTGCAGCTCCCCCTGCTTGTGCTCGCTGTCAATGAAATAAATAAAATCTTTAAAAAATAAAAATAAAATAAACATCCTTAATTGTGACACCGTCCTCACGTTCATAAATATCTTCTCGGTACCTGGTGGCGTCCGCGCCAGCCGGGCAGCTGGAGAACCTCCGCGTCCTTCCCAGGCCCACCAGCCCCGGCGTGGGGGGAGGAGGGGGACAGGGTACCTGCTGGGACGGCGTTCCCCACACAGCCCCCGACCCGGGACTTCCCGGTCAGCTCGCTCCCCTGAGAGCACACGGGAGCTGGGCTCTGCCCTAGACCCTCAGTGCCTAGACAAATTCCCGTCGGAGCCGGTGTTGTGGGCTTCCCCTGCTTGCTGCTGGCCTGCTCTGCACGGAACGGTGGGCTGCTGGGCTGGTCCCTGCGGCTCAGAGCGGAGGACCCTGCCTCATCCCTGGGGCCCAATGCCAGCCACCACAAAGCACGTGAGTCCGGGGGCCTGGAAAGGAGCAGCTTGGAGGGGAGAGCGAGGCGGAAGTCTGGGAGTTCAGAGCGAGGAGAAGCGGAGCAGTGGGTTGGGAGGAGGCAGGCCACACATGCAGGATGGGCCTGGACAGACAGCGGCCAGGAGAGGACAGACGGGTCAGGGAAGGAAGCAGGGTGCTGGCAGCCCTCAGCAGCCCGTCGAGGTGGGTGGGAGCGGAAGCGAGCCGCCCATCACCTGGCCACGTGCATGGGCGGGCTGACTGTCCCAAGCTGGGAGAGGCCGCTGACGCCCGAGCGGGGTGCAGGCCCCGGCCGGGGAGGTGTGGGGACACTGACAAGCCCACTGAGGAGACACACCAGAACCAGCTTTTGTGGGCCCTTTCATTCAGCACACGGAGCTGCAGCAGGCCTCATGTAGGCAGTAATTCAACACACCTTCACTGAGCTTTGATTCTGTGCGGTGTTCTCAGGCACCCAACTCCGGGAGAGCGCAGGAAAGCGTCCCAGAAAGGACCAAGCACAGGGGTGAGCTTTGCAGGTGGAGAGCAGGGAGGCACTGTGTAGGCAAAGGGTGAGTCCTGCAAAGGCAGGGGCGGTGCAGAGAAGCTCAGTGTGGCAAGAGGACCTTCCGCCTAGAGAACTAGAATGCAAGCCGGCTGAGATGGGGCCGTGAAGGGGCTGCTTCCATCTGTCCTGGGGGCAACCAAGAACCTGGAGAAGTAGTTTAGCACAGGAGCTAAAATTTCGGATGATTTTGAGAAGGATCATTCTGGAAGTCCCTGGAAAAACTGGGGCCCAGTAGTTAGGCAGGAGGCTGTTGCAGAAGGCCAAGCCAGAGCTGGAGCTGTGGGAAGGCCTGGGGAGGGAGGAGGAGGCTTAGGAAGGGAGGAGGAGGAAGAGGTTTGGGAGAGAGGGAGGGAGGAGGAGGTTTGGGGAGGGAGGTGGCAGAGCTGTCTGAGCAGTTCATCCATGAGGAGGGGCGGGGGAGCAGGGAGGATCCATGGCAGCTCTGGAGGGAGCTGTGGGCTCTGGGGTTGGCCTAGAAGTCTCCCGAAGATCTGAGCCTCGGGAATGGGTGAGGCTGACCGGGGTGGGTGTGTAGGGAGCACCACCGGGTGTAACATGTAACTGTGACTCAGGAGCAATCTGCAGGAGTTCAGGGGGGAAGGCAGAGCTGGAGACACAGGGGGAGAAGAGCCAAGGCCTCAGGGAAGCAGTAGGGACCTCGGGGACATGGTTGATGAAGGGCAGTGTCAGGGAAGGCCAGCCCGGGACAAAGCCCGGGACTGTGGACTCTGAAGTCACCGCTGGTCCCAGAAGCAGCAAGAAGATGGGACGGTCCACGCCAGTCCCCGGGCAAGAGGCGCACAGGAGACGAGTTACCCTCTTCCAAAGTGGTCTGTTTTCTTAACGTTTTCAACAACCTCGTTTTTCTCTTATTACGTTCTCTGTGGCTCAGAGACATTTTGAGAGAAGCATTTGTGCAGAACGCTCTATAGGACCGAGGTTACAGAGCTGTGCTGGCGGGTTTAGAACACCCCCAGCTAGCCAGATCAGGGCGCCGTTGAATGCAGTTGGGTCTGCTTCGAGTGTGATTCATCCAAACAAGGCAGGACAGCCCCACATTCCTGAGGTTCTGGGCCTGCTGATAGTTTACTCAGGAAGTCAGGTTCAACTGATAATGCTAATTCAGGATTCCCTACCACCCTGGCTCCCCCAGCATGCTCACTTTCTTGAGGGCACACACTGTACGCTGCTGCGGATGCAGGGAGCAGCCCCAGGGCCTTGCTGACCCGGTGATGTTACAAGGCAGGACTTTATGCGGCACGAGTGCCAGGGAAGTCACTTCTGCATTCACGCAGTCCTTCTTTCTTAGGACGGGTCCCTAAGTGCTGCAGGGCTCAGCGTGGAGAAGAGAGAGCAGGGCAGGGAGCTTAGGGCTGAGGGCCTGGGGCACTTTGCTTCAAGCAGAAGGGAACACGTAGCTTCCTCAAGGTCACCAAGCACCAGGTGATGTGGGAGAGGGAAAAAAAAAAAGCAGTTTCCAGGTCCGGCTTTGGGAACACTCGCAGGCTGGTGACTGAGCAGCTACTCACAGGGAGGAGTCTCAGTTTCCACCGGTGACAGCGGGGGCCGGGGCGGCCGGGGCTGGGAAGCAGGGTCTGAGAGCCCAGCACACGTGGGCTCCGGATGCAGCTGCAGTCCCAGCGCCGGCTGCCCGCCGCGGGGCGCATCCTACGGCGGGGAAGCCGTGCAGATGGAGACACCGGCTTTGACACACGAACCTGCCACCGGGAACGCTGCGACTGAGTGGCCGACGAGGACCTGACGACCCCGCTTCCAGACTCTGCACGGGGGTCGGGGTCGCCGCCCGCGTCCGAGCCCGGGGGTGGGGGCGCTCTCTGGGGCGCGGCGCCCACTCCTGCTCCCCAGGTCGAAAGAGGGCACGAGAGCGCGCCGCGACTCCGCAGGTACGAGCCTGCCAGGCTCTCGTGTCAACGTCCTCCTCCTGGAGAAAATTCAAGCAGACTGTGCAAGATATTTTCGGAAAGTAGGGCATTTTGGAAGCATTTCGTAACCTCCGAGACGGGGGCGGCGGCGCCTCCCGTGCGCTAGAGAAGGGGGCTGATGCCCGGGGCCAGCCGGCGCCCCCAGCCGCGCGCGGAGTCGCGGGCCTAGTGGGGCGCGGGCGACCTTGGCGGGCGGCGCGACCTTGAGGCCTGCGGTCGCCTCAGTCGCCCCCTCTGTGCAAT